TTTCTGTGTTTCTGTGTTGTTCTCTGTCTTTCTCTTTCTCTGTCTCTCTCTCTCTCTCTCTCTCTCTCTCTCTCTCTCTCTGTGTGTGTGTCTGTGTGTAGAAAAAAAAATCTATTCCTGCTCTTGCTAAGGGTACTACTTCCTATATAGAGAGGAAGTAACTGGCTGCATCTAATTTATCTCCTCGTTTTAGTCCAAGTAAGGAAGTTTGCAGAAAATAAGATTTTTTTTTTCTACTACCAATTAAAGCTGTCTGGGTCCTGAAAGCCAGATTCACAACCAACAATGAATGATACATTTGTGGCCATTGCTAACAGGATGCTAATGTTTGTTTCCCAGTGTGGCAAATATTATACTGTTACCGGAGTTCCTACGTAGGCTAGTGTCCCCATTACTCTCTTAATGGGCACACTATCCAGGTGTTTGTGTTTTTCTTCAATGTTCCTTAAAATAATCTCTAGTTTGTGTTTGCTTTTGAGAAGGCCAGCATGTTCAAGGTCCGTCTCCTTATTCACTCCGTGACCATGAAAAGTCCAGACAGGCAGGGCTTGCTTGGAGTTAAGGGGGATGCTCCTGTTTTCAATGCTTCCCCTGGCTATATGGCATTCCTGAATTTACTAGAGCAGTGGAGGATGCCAAAGGCAGAGAGATTGTAACTGGGTTCAGGCTAGGTGGTTAGCGCAGGTCTTTGGTATATTCTAAAGCTGAAATCTTTGTTACTCAAAGACCCTGTCCATTCTCTCATCCCACAGAGGTGGTTGTGTGTTTTCCCTCCACGTGACAGGATGGAATTCTAGCAATTTTCTGCTTTCTAATTCAGAAATTACTCTCTCTGTGTGTTGTGGTTCAAGAAAATTACACAGGAGGACATTTGGAGCTTCACATAAAATGTCCAAGATCAGCTCTGTGTCTGAGAAATCAGGCTTCAAATAAGCGCTTTTGGAGCATGGGTGCAATTGGTTGGCCTTTAAGTTTTTTGGTGTTTTTGTTTTTCTGTGGTTTTGGTGGATGCTGTCATTTTGGTTGCTATCTCAGAAGAGTTCTGGGGGTGGAGTTGTGACTTGAAATCATGGTCCTCCCACAACCATTTCTGGGGCATTAAATCTGGTCAGAGTTAACTTGGATATTGCTTCTGGGCCTACTCAGTAGTAAGCCCAGAGTTTCTTGTCTAACTAGATACAAAATGATGAGAACAAAACAAGAATCGTGGTGGTTGCTTAAAGGAGATACCTTATTAATTTAGTATGAAACTGAAACTTTTACTCATTAAAAAAGTAAAATTGAAAAATACCTATTATTCTATAATATGCATATATTTTATATACATAATATGGACAATATCTATATACTACATAGCGTACACACACATGGCCCACATCACTGGGAACTTTCAAAATCTCTCTCTCCTGTGCCTATGCATGTCTGTGTCTGTATGTCCATATGTAAGTGTGGGAGCACATGTGGAGGTCAGAGGACGACCTTAGGAATTGGCCTTATTTGAGACCTATTTTGAGGATAGCTGGAGCTCAAGCTTCCAGAGTCTCTCCCGCCTCTGCCCCATCTTGCTGCAGGAGCCCCGGGGTGGCAGACATGCACTACAGTGCTGGGTTCTGTTTGGGTTCTCGGAATCAGCGTTCAGGACGTCACACTTGGGGCAAGTCCCTGCTGCTGAGCCAACTCCCTGCCTCTGAGTGGGACCTATTATAAAAGGCCCTCTAGGGTTCTACAGGTTCTATCAATTATGACCTATTCATGCTTTTAAGTTTTTAAGTATCTAGGAACAATCCATGCCCCAGACTCTTTTCGAGCTACAATTCCTTTTCCCATAGAAAAAGAAATTATACAGTCAGGTAACCAGCTGTGTACAGTTGTTGACTTTAGACACTATGGCTTTTGTGAGCAGCCCACAGTTAATGGGCATCTATCCCTTTAATGGAACTATTTTTACTTGCTGATCAAGATCTGTTTGGTCCCCACACCAGAGTGGAAAGAAAAGCATCTCTTAGTTGTCCATGTTCTTTTCCCTTCTCTTGAAGGACTTTGAGAGGTGGGAAGTCCATATTTTCTCCGAGTCTCTGACAGCATTTTCTTTATTGTTTTTCCTGCCTCTCTTTGGAGTTCATAAATCTCAGAGTCTCTGGAAAGATGTAAGGTTGAAGCTTTGCAGGGGTGCTGGGTGGGGGTGGGGTGGAGATGGTAAGTGGTAGGAAGGGCTCTCTTCTCATGAGATATAGGGAGGAGGACATGACTGAACCTCTCTGTAACCTTCCAGGACTGGGCTGTCTCTTGCCTCATCCTACCTTCAGAAACCAGGCTGTGTCCTGTTATTCCTAGTCTTAATGCGTGGGCCTTTGTAGGTTCAAGTTTGATATATGAAAAATAAATCTGAAATTTTTCAGTTAGCAGAAAGTGTATGACAATGTTTTAGTACTTTTGAGCCTTGACTACCCTGTCCATTTCCCTCAGCCCAGGGTGTATCCCACTTTGATAATACAGTAAACACTTGGGCTGACTGAATTGCTGGTGCCCAAATTTGTAAAAGGCCCTCTAGGGTTCTACAGGTTCTATCAATTATGACCTAATCATGCTTTTAAGTTTTTAAGTAACTAGGAACAATCCATGCCCCAGACTCTTTTCGAACTACAATTCCTTTTCCCATAGAAAAAGAAATTATACAGTCAGGTAACCAGCTGTGTACAGTTGTTGACTTTAGACACTATGGCTTTTGTGAGCAGCCCACAGTTAATGGGCATCTATCCCTTTAATGGAACTATTTTTACTTGCTGATCAAGATCTGTTTGGTCCCCACACCAGAGTGGAAAGAAAAGCATCTCTTAGTTGTCCATGTTCTTTTCCCTTCTCTTGAAGGACTTTGAGAGGTGGGAAGTCCATATTTTCTCCGAGTCTCTGACAGCATTTTCTTTATTGTTTTTCCTGCCTCTCTTTGGAGTTCATAAATCTCAGAGTCTCTTGATAGATGTAAGGTTGAAGCTTTGCAGGGGTGCTGGGTGGGGGTGGGGTGGAGATGGTGAGTGGTAGGAAGGGCTCTCTTCTCATGAGATATAGGGAGGAGGACATGACTGAACCTCTCTGTAACCTTCCAGGACTGGGCTGTCTCTTGCCTCATCCTACCTTCAGAAACCAGGCTGTGTCCTGTTATTCCTAGTCTTAATGCGTGGGCCTTTGTAGGTTCAAGTTTGATATATGAAAAATAAATCTGAAATTTTTCAGTTAGCAAGTGTATGACAATGTTTTTCTGCTTTTGAGCCTTGACTACCCTGTC